CCGTCGGAAATCCGTCGGTTTTGAAAACCGTCAGAAATCCGTCGGACGTTTTGCTCGTCGGACTTCCGTCGGTGGCACGGGTCGTCGGAATTCCGTCGGTGACACGTGCCGTCGGAAATTCGTCGGAGCTTCTGGCCGTCAGAAAACCGTCGGTGGTCCGGGTCGTCGGAATTCCGTCGGTGACACATGCCGTCGGAAATCCGTCGGAGCTTCTGGCCGTCGGAAAACCGTCGGCACTGATTCCGACGGATTTCCGACGGATCCAACTTATCCCTTTTCCGTCGAAAATCCGTCAGTATTTCCGACGGATTTCTGACGGTTTTTAATTTTCGACGAGATAGAACCGACGGACCAAAAACGTCGGCGAGCCGTCGGAATGGGGCTTATTCCGACGGATTTCTGACGGTTTTGGCCGTCAGAAATGTGGCTGTTTTCTTGTAGTGTTAGCAATCTTGTAAATGCAACACATTCAAGTCTTTCTTCACATTTCAAGTCATTTGTGCTTTCCAATATCACATCAGAAAAAAATAAAAAATCGAGATGTTTAAAAAATATATATATCTCCTTCGTCAAAACTTCGATTTAGATGATTCCACTTCGAGGCGTTATCTAGATGAGTTGAGAATGTTCTCCAAGTGGTCTCATGCCTTGAATCTTCTTGGTTGAGCAGGAAATCATCGTATAATGGACATAGCTCTGTATTGGCTGCATTAAACATGTTGTCTAGAATCACCCTATTTGTAAATCCGATCTCGATGTGGTCCGAGCTCTGATTGACCCAATTCTTCTTCCTTGTGAATCTCTGATGAGTTAGGTTTTGGGAACAATATGGTTCGTTTCTTAACTCTTCCTGGTTGGTTCAATATGGTCTATGAAAGGCACAATGTATGTACTTGTCGGATCATATGCGCCTTGAATGGCATGTTTGATGGAGCTCCGGATCAGTTATTGGTTTGATGACCTCATCATCACGGAGTCATCAATAATCAGCTGACGTAGTAGCTGAATCATCAGCCACGTCTGGTGCCACGTCATTAAAGTATGGTTAGTCATAAAAAACAATCTAAA